GGAGATCTTAAAAAATGCAGTAGGTGGCAGAAAGTAAAATTCGCATTTGCTTTCATTGACATAAAGTTCATTATCTGACAAAGATCCATGGTGGCTTAGTACTACAATGATACTATGCACGCTTGGTATTAGGTAATCTTCAGCACTGGGGAAACAGGAGGTGAACGTAAAGTGCTGAGTTCTCCTCTTACATTTATTTGTGAATTGGGAGTAATGCTCCCAACACCAGGCTCCCCTGGATGTGTAATAATAAGCATGATTAATACATGATGGCTGCATTTAAGATGTTATCTAGTGCTTTCATTTAAGATGTTTTCTCTGTGCTCTTTCTTTCCTTGGTTGTCTTGCAACCTTCTTCTTGTTACAACAATTGCTCCACACATGGTCCCTGAGCTGTGGTCCTGAAGCCTACAGAGGTCGTGGTTCTGTGGTGGAACATGCCGTGAAATTTCTACCACGTATTAACTGGACAGGTGTCCCAACATGCCAGGGTTTCTAAAAATGCATTACACAATTACAGGAAGTAAGTGATGAGAAAAAATGGTGCCCATTGCTTCATCTTTCAGAACAGCAAGACAGATTTATGGGAGGGAAAACTTCTAAGGAAAAGAGTGGGAACTAACTCAGAAAATGGTCACGGGAGCCTGAGGGTTTAGCTCCCTGAAATTCCCTGAGCTTTTCAAACCTCCCTTCAGATTTTCTTTGTTCCTTGTTTTTTTGTTCCGTAATGCTCATGGGATCAGTGGCTCGTACCTGAGGTACGCTGAGGCGCTGGTTCAACCTAGGTGGAGTTTGGGACATTAGAGGACGGGCTGGTTTTCTGTCCAGGAGGTGTGGACACTCTTCTCTTGCATCATGTTTCCCATGCTTTGCTTTGAGGGACAGATTTGTGAACATGTGTCTGTCTCAGCTTTTCAAGTCTGGGCTTCAAGAGCTTTGATGTGTGAACTTCCTAGAGCAAGCCCTGGGAATACTCGAGACGGCTACCTGATCCCATTGCATGGTCTTTTGTCATTTCCAAAGCACAGATTTTGTCGTTCCACTCCGTCTTGACCTTAGTAGGGTGAGTTAGTCTTAGGATTGCTTTTGTTGGGGTTTTTTTTAAGACCACTTTCCATTAATTCTGCATTACCTTGCTTTTCTGAGTTTAAATCTTAAAGCTGTACTTAAAGTACCAAAGAAGGTTTAGCCACACAATTGCCATTTGACATGGGAAATTGAATGGCTAAGCCCCTGCATATATGCCATAGCCTGTACACTGCTGGGTAGGTTTTATAATTGTTCTTCATACATTAAGCAACCAATTGCCGATTTGTGTACATATGTAGGTTCATCCTTTACCAATTTCCTGTGACTGATAGTTTCCAGGAGATTAAAAGAATAGCCGGTTCCTGTTTTTTCTCTTCTCTTTATTTTTGTCCTTTAGCAAGAATATTTGTGTGTGTGTGTTTAATAGCATTCATTCCCTAGAGAATAATCTCGGTCCTTGTTGGCCTCCTTCTGAGAGTGTGTTAAATCTGTAGCCAAGATCACAGGCAGCTCTGGGCAAATCATTGGGCTGTTATTAACCTGCCTCCATGGCAACTGCTGCTCGCCAGCCTGAGGACAAAAAATGTTTTTATTCTGCTGAGTTGCACAAAAGGTTCTAGTGATGCCTTGCACAAAATGGCCATTGAAAGGGGAGATGCAGTGATGTGTGTTTGTGCCATACAGTTTCATATTTAAATCGTTTTACACTGTTGTGTTGGAAGCGGACATACAGCTGAAAAGTTCAGCGTGTTGGCCATATGGAAAGTAAAAAGTAGCAGAAAATTGGAACTAAACTTATTTTAATACTACTTATTTTTGTCAGCTTGACTTCACAGGCCTTTGGCCTGCAATTGGCATCAGTGTGTTAGCAAGATATTCGGTGACCTTGAGCTTGGGAAACATCGTCATGGGTTTTCAGTTGTACTGTGTGAAGATACTGACTTGGGGTTACAGAGAGAGAGCGTAAAGCAGGTTTCCTGGAAAGCTTTCATTTTCTTCAGAAATCCTCTCATTTGCTTCAGTGCTTGTTTGGGAAGCTTGGTAAGCATATCTTAGTGCTTGATGAGCTTCAAATTTTAGCTGGTTTTGAAAGCTGCTCTTGGCAGTACTGTTTGAGGCTTGCTTTAAAGCAAAATGCTAAAACCGGCTATATCACTGAGGCTAGGCAAGGATTTAAGCTGCTCCTGGAGAGTGTTCACAGTGGGACCTGCAGGGGGTCTGGCAGCCCCAGTGCTGTGATGAGGCTGTCCCCCGCAGTTAGTTACCCTCTGGCAGGAGGTTGTGCAGCTCTGCTGTCAGTTTGGGTGCAGAATGACTCTGTAGGGATGGACGCTGTCTCTTGGAAACGTGCTGCTTTGGGATGCTCCCTGCTTTAGTCTTGGTGGGAGGCTGAGTAGTTTCTGCAGTTCCACGTTTAGGCAGTTTGCTCTGCCTTGCTCAAAATAGCGTGAGTGCTTTAGACATCTCATAGGGAGCCCCTTGGCCGTGGTCTGCCCTGATAAAATGAAGGCCACCCAAATATTGTGATGCTTTTTTACTTGGGCTGCAGAGGAAGACCTAAAGAGCATGGCCGCAAAGATGCTATGTGTAGCTGCCGGTGGCTGGGAGGTGGGAGGGGGTTTGCCACTGTTGGCTTGTGTTCGAGGGTCTGTGGACCAGTGGCAGATACTGTCGTGTGTTTGGGTAAGGGATCCAGCAAACTCTCTGGGGTGAGTGGTCTGCCAGTGGCCCGGAAAGCTGGCTGGGCGGTGTGGGGCACTGGGAGGACAAATACCTGGTTGGGGGGTGTTAATCATCAGTCCTGGGCCTGCACCAATTTTCAGTTTTGTCAAAGCAGGCTGCTCCCATTTTCTGAAACCAGCAGCTTTTCCTTCAGCCCTTGTCAAGTCCCTTGGCTTTGCTTCCCGCTGTTTTTTTTTCCTGTCTTTGATGGGATCCTTCTGCGAAGCAATCTGTGGATCAGCATGATTAGGGGATCAACCTCCCCCACGCCAAGCAATGATCTAGCATTTAGTCACCTTCTCCTTTAGGGGTGCGGCCTGAAAGGTCGTTCCTTTCGTGCTGGGCTACGGCCTCGTGCGTGTTGAGCGTTGCCTGCTGGATCAGAGCATGGTTACTCCTGGATAATCCTTCACTGCTAATCCTGCGCCAGGTGCAAGCATTTCTTGGATTAACTCTGGGAGGTTTGGGCCTGACCTGGGAGCAGATGCTGCGGAGGCGAGCCAGCCTCGTGCACGCGACTGCTGCTGCGGGTGGCTTGTGAGCTGTGCCCAGGCACAATCCCCAAAGCAGAGGATCCCTCGGCGAGACCTGGTGTCTGAACTCTGCTCTTGGCCCTCCATGGTAAAGTGCAACCCAGAGATGATTTCCTCTGGTAGTGTGCGTTTGGGTTTTGTTTGCCCTGTCACTGCTAAGCTGCAGTGTTTGTTCATTCCGCAGTATTTTTGTCATGAAGATAGTTCCTACTGAGTGGTCTCCAGCTGTGGGCTCGACTATAAAAGCTTCCCAGGCTTGTTGCTGTGCAGCTAAATCTGGTCTGCAGTTAGCGAAGGGGCGTTGCGTAAGTGGTGTCGGTGGTGATAGCTGCTTAAGCCTGACGAGGACACTTGCTAGTGACTCTCTTAAAAGAAGAGTTTCCCACTTATGAAATGGGAAAGCTTTCAATTATTGGATGCATATTATTCCCCAGCGCTGCACGGGAGTGCCTGCTCTGCGATTCATTCATTAGTGGGAAGGGGAGGGGGGATAAAAATAAACTTGCCTCACATTGCGGATGGAGACTTGCTGATCTTTGTGAGGAATTTTTGGGGCGGGAAGATGTGATGTGATGTACGCATTCGCCAGCTGTCTCCCTGCCTTCAGACGCTTTGTTCGTGTAGCGCCTTGCCGTAGAAGCAGCGAGCTGTTCCTGCGATGTGCGACGCTGGCCGCTCCATTAAGCGCTGCCTTAATGGCCCGTGTTTTGCGCGGTTGTATGAAATGCACATTAATGGAGACAGCTTAATGCCATCACCCTGAAGTAATGAATTGGTATGGATTGCCATTACCATTATAGCACAGTTAAAAGCTGTTTGTTTCCGATTTACATTTCCCAGCTCTGCAAGCAGATGGATTTTCAGGCCGCGCGGTCGGGAGGAACCTGGCAATTCGGCTGCAAACTCCTTATTACGGTGTTTGCAGAGCAGCAGTTGGAGGGGGGGGAGCATTTTGTTAACTCAGACTGCTTAAATGATACATTTCATTATAACTATCATTATGCTACTGCAGACTGTATTCAGCGATCACTGTAAATCCAGTGTATCCTATAAAGCTGGAAATGTTTTGTCTGTGTAATACAGCTTCATCTCACTGCTCTCGATAAAAAAATGTTATTCTTTGGCTCCTATTCAATTTTTCTCTTGTTAAAATATCTGTATCCTTATAACCTCATACGGATTTATACAAAAAGATACTCAGGAGTCGTGAGAGAGTGTAGGGTAGTTAAGTTTTCCAGACCTAAATGTGTCCCTCTTCCAATGAAAGTGCAAAGTATCTTTTCCAGAAGGCTTCATTGTCTTGAGTATTTGCTTTTCTGGCTTCTTGAACGGTGCCCACGTAGCTAGTGCTCCTACCCCTAGTGTCAGTAAGGCTGACACGCCATGAGCCCTGTGTGAGCAGCTGAATCGCAATGGATCACTTTAGACAAGTGATTTTTTTTCTTTTTCCATTTCCTAGGCTGTCTCATCGATCTCCTCTTGATCCTGTAAAGATAGGAGCACTCAGCCCGCTTTCTGGGCTTTGAGTCCGTACTAACAGATCTGTAGGTCACTGCTTTAGAGGGTGATGCTGTCTTGTACCACCTATAGATTTTTGCTTAGCACGTCAATGCCTTTTAGTCCCTATGGCTTTTACCAAGTGGAGAACAGATACTCTTTTCCTCATAATTTGCTTTTTGCTCATAACGTTTCTTTTGCTTTCTCTCTTCTGCTTAGGTTGCTTTGAATGTTGCATTAAGTGCCTAGGAGGAGTGCCATATGCTTCGCTCGTGGCAACCATTCTGTGCTTCTCGGGGGTAGCGTTGTTTTGTGGCTGTGGCCACGTGGCGCTCACAGGAACCGTGTCTATCCTCGAACAGCACTTCTCCACCACTGCCAGCGACCATGCTTTGCTGAGTGAAGTGTAAGTATGCCTCCCATTTCCATTATTCTTCATAACGCCCTCATGCTACATGAGCAGTGATGGATTCAAACCCCAGCCTCCATCCCCGAGTACTGGGTGCCTTGTTTGCCCAGCAGCACTCAGTGACTTTTTGGAGAAGGACTTTGGGGTGCTGGTGGATGAAAAATTGGACATGAGCCGGCAACGTGCCCTCACAGCTCGGAAAGCCAACCCTATCCCGGACTGCATCAAAAGCAGCGTGGCCAGCGTGCTTTCTATGAGGACAGGCTGAGAGCGTTGAGGTTCTTCAGCCAGGAAAAGAGAAGGCTCCGGGGAGACCTTATTGCAGCCTTTCAATACTTAAAGGAAGGGGGCTTATAAAAAAAGTGGAGATGGACTTCTTATCAAGGCCTGTAGTGACAGGACAAGGGGCAATAGTTTTAGCCTGGAAGAGGGTAGAGGTAGTGTTACAAAGTTATTTCAGTGACACAAATAACTGGGAAGCGTTGCTCTGTCCATCATGCCCTCAGAAGAAGGTGGGCAGGTATTGTGCAAACAAAAAAAAGAGGAAGGACTGGAAAGAGCTTGAACGTATGTCTCTGTAGCCTTTGGAAGTAACCACCAGTGAAATATTTGGGGCTTTTCTGTTCCCGAGGCTTCTCCATGATACCAGAGGAAGGCCCGGAGGCCCCGTCCCACTGGCGGGAGCCTCTCGTTCCCCTTGATGCTGAGGGATGTGTGGGTCCCAGGCTCTGGGCCATCGGTCTGAACGCGCTGGGCCTTACACGGCCCCTCCGGCTGGGCCTGCCAGGCTTTGAAAAGGCTTTTGTCCAGCGGCAGTGAGGAATTTCGCTCGAGCTGCGGTTCGCGACGCCTGCGCGCTGGTGTTGGGATGCTGACTGGCCTGGGTTCGGCCTCCTGCCCGCTCCTTACCGCGGGGCAGCACCGGCCGCAGGCACAGCGTGCGGCTGGCCCCTGGAGGTGGCTCCATCCCAGGGCAGGGATCGGCACGAGGAAGGGGCAGGCGAAACCTGCTGAAAGCCGCCACATGTGTCTGTGAAGAGGGGGCCCACATGGTGCACGCTCGTGGGCCGGTTTGCATGCCCTGAGGTGGAGATTTCTACAGCTGACCCCTTCCCATCCCCTGGTAGCACTGGCATCGATCCCACAGCCCCATTTTGGGGCTTCTCCCCCTCACAGGACCCCCTGTGCCGGGACCGCATCCCACCGAGGTCCCATGTGTCCCCCCAGCACCTCCCACCCTGGCTGCGTCTGGGCACCCCAGGTCCGTGCATGAGCCACAGGGACCCTGCAGTTACCCACAAAAGTTAGCAACACTAGTAGGGCACCCATTGTGGAATGGATTTTTAACAGGGTTTCATATTCCTTATTTCTGGTAACATGCATTGAGTGCCTCCTAGACTATTAATGATGGTGAAATGAATTCTTCTACCCTTTCTCAAACCCTGACTTAATTTTTTTCATGCTTTACAGCACAGGTGCAACAGATTTATCCTGTTATTTTTAATCAGTTTGGAAAATAAACATAACACTTCCCACATGTAATTTTAGATGAGCAATATCTTATTTTGATACAAGGGTTGTGCTGTCTATCTGGATAACATTTAACTATATAAATAATTTTTTTCTTTAAATTAAGCTAAAACATGCAGATGCTCCTTGGAGATGTACGTGTATGCTGGCAGCTACTTAGTGGAGAGTGGCAAGAATTGAAAAAAAACATTTGAGGAAAAATATATTTATCCTTAGAAAACTGGCAGCATGGATGTATCAAATTAACCTCTCTGTTCTGTGAATAGCTTCACCCAGAATAACCAATCCCAAGCAAATGCCCCAAGGCATAAGTTCTAGAGAAGTTGTGCTGATAACAAAGTATGACTTGTGGAGACCAGGAGAAATGTTGTATGACAGATAGGGCATTCTGGTCTTCTAAACCAGTCACGTGCAGATACTGAATCTGATTGATAATATTTAGAAATTATTCTTTCCATTTACCTATTCTAGCCAGAGTAAAAATACCGTAAGAGTGTCATTGCAGATGGTAGATTTTTAAGGAATTGAGAACCTTCTCAAATTGTATCTGAGGGAAGTGCCTATGCCACGTGCCCTGCAATCTTCTTCCTCTGGACGGTTCCGGAGTACCTTAAGTGGAAGCATTTCCTAAATATTTTTTTCAGTTTTTAAAAATTGAATTACATTTTGGGGAGCTCCACACTGCTGTGACTTAAGACACTGAAACCTACCTGCTCACTTGGAAGTACCCTCCTGGGCTGTAGAGCAAACCATTCCTCAGCAGAAGTCGCTGCACATTTGCCGAGTTTTGTATGAGAGAAGTATCACTGAATTTGCAGATTCTTGCAGACATACATTAACTGGATTTTACAGGGGGAAATGGTGAACGTCAGGGACTGCTCCCTTTCCGTAAGCCAAAGGAATCACCTCAGAGCCTGGTAGTTCAGCCGGTAGTTCAGCTCCAACCTGTGCCATTGCAAAGTTGTCCCTGTTGGACGTTCTCTGAGTTGGGTGTCAGAATCAGCAACAGGAAAAAAAAAAAAATCTCCATAGGGGAAGCATGAAGTCACGGCTTCAAGCTGGCAACTAATACCAGTCAGTGTAAGAACTGCAGCACAAACAGGGGATGCTCGAGCGGATGCAAGACTAATGCACATCAGTATTGCTATTCTACCTGTAGAAGCAGGACAGTTGTATCGGCCCTCTCCTGCAGCCTGCTTGCTTAGAAATGCGTTAAGGAGCCTTGACCTGTGTTTCTAGAAGAGGAGTTATCCCATATCTATTATGATTTGGGAGGACTGACTTCGGTTTTATAGGACTGAAATCTCGTTGTCTTTTTTGCTTTTCCATTTTAGAATTCAGCTAATGCAGTATGTAATTTATGGCATTGCATCATTTTTCTTCTTGTACGGAATAATCCTTTTGGCAGAAGGTTTTTATACAACAAGTGCTGTGAAGGAGCTGCATGGAGAGTTCAAAACCACAGCCTGTGGCCGCTGCATCAGTGGAATGGTGAGTAGCATTAGAAATGGGAACAGCTGTCCTCGCTTGGGCTCCGTTTGACTCCTGTCTTTTTGAACAACACTATTGCTTTGTTTAACTCCTTATGGGCGGTTAGAGTCAGTCCCCTTTGCTGGTCCTTCTCTGAACTTTGAAGGTGTTTGGTCAAATTCAGATTCCGCAGATGGACTGTCACGGTGCTACTGTGGCCTCCCCTGTCATAAAGCTGAACCCACTGGTCTAAACTAAGCTGATGGAGACTGCTAACTTTAAAACAGTCAATGCAAGACAAAATGTAATTGGTGCTTTTTACACATGTGATGCTTAAAGGCAGACTGTAAAATGGCTGTGGTTTGCAGAGCTATTTAAATAACAAACTGTAATGCCTCTGACTTGCATAGTCAATTCTGCTTGAGGATGTCTGGATCCTTCAAACAGTAATGAATGAAGCTTCGCAACATCTTTGCACTTGAATCAAGTATTGCCGTCTTGCTTTTGCAGATGGCAGAAGGCATAACAGATACAATATTGAGTCTTTTTTGCAAAGCTGAAACACTTAAAGCCTTGAAGTTACAAGCCATCTTCCCTTCAGTATACTTGTGTATTGCAACAAAATTTTAAGCAAAGTTTAACTAAAAATAAAACTACAGTTTCTCATCCACGTTGACCCCTAAGGCACGCTCTGCAAGAACAGAAACAACTATGTTTCTGAGACAGGATTTCAAAGCTATTCCTGAAAAATCTGAATTCAAAGCTTGTAGTTATGGAGGAAGCTAAGCAGTATGACAGATCGCCCACGGGAAAGTGTGGGTGAAAAGAGAAGAGGCTTTTGATGGGATTGTTGCATTTTAATATACAATCTATATCCTGTACTTAAAAAATATGTACTTTCAGCTGGTTAAATACAAAGGAGATGCGTGTTTATTTTCAAGGGGGTTAACAATTTTCCACTGTGCTATTGGATACTTACTGAATTTTTCAACAGCTAATAAAAATAAGACATCCGTTCATTTTCCACTTAAGCAGCTATTCACTCGCTCTTTTTCTAGCAAGTATGATCTTCACCGAGGAGCAAAATTAGATCCAAAGCAGTGTTCTCCAAAGATCCAAAATATAGTTGAAACATACACATACCTGCATCTCATTAGTGCAGACAATTGCTTGTGGAGTTGAGTAGTTGCAGGCACATGATTGCCAGCTGCTTATACAAACACCAGCGTGACACTTGGAAATATGACAGAAAAACCTGTTTCCCTGTGTGCCTACATTTGTCCACACAATGAAGGAGAGAATTTCACAGCTGAGTAATGGCTTGGAGCTCTGATAAGATACATCAGTGGTTAGTGGTGACAAGCCATGGCATAAAAACGCCCATGTGCTGCTGCGTAGTGGTAGAGCTGCTTAAAACCGGGCTAGAACAAGGTTTGCAAGGAGATAGAATACCTTAAGAGATGAGTGGCTGCAGCTGGGTGTGGACAGAAGGCTTTTGGACATACAGTGATTTATTTTTTTGCCTCTTTGATCAAATGCTCCTTCACTTCTTCCTCTGTTATGTTACCGAGCAAGGTCCTGAAAGGCAGTCCCTTCCATCTTGCATAAGGTTTTTACAGAAGTTCCAACTTTTCGAAATTATTTGTGTTGGCTGAGGTAATGCAGAATAGCCGTTTCCCACAGTTATCGCATTAAATGTGAGAGTGGGTGTGTTTCTTTTCCTGGCTGTTTTAAGAGTTAAAGGCTTTGTGTACTTCCTCTCATGCACGCTTCCACATATACGTATGCAAAACCGCATTTTATGTATAGTGTATCTATAGAAAGCCTTTAAACTGGACCACTTGGTCTTTACCAAAATCCAAAGAGAGAATTCTCAGTTCTCGCATAAAACGTACAGGTCTGGCATATCTAACGTATCTAATAAGAAATAGGGTGGTTCAGGTCAGTTGTGCGTGAATGACAGGCTAGCTGGGGTTTTTATGGCCCTTACTTTTGCAAGCACTTCCACCTCCCCACACGCACCACCTTCGTTCACTACAAAACCCAACCAATTGCTCAGCCTTTGCTCTAGCGGTTGCGGCGTTGTTCAGCGCGCCTGGACAGAAACCGGTGAGGACGCAAACGTCCACCACTGCAGCGTGAGTTCGGTCTGTCAGTTCTGGGTCAGGCTGAGACGACCTCACCCCTCAGAGCCTCTTCCGTCCTTCCCGTTCTTCTCCGGCAGAGGGGTCTCAAGCGAGATAGTCCAGCGTCAGCGCTTTACTGGAAGCAAAGCCTTTCCAGTCCACCTACAGTTAGGTAAGAGTGAAAAGGGAACGCGCAAGATGTAACGGCATTCCCCCGCTTTCCAAGTAGGATCCAAATCCCAGTCTCACCAGGAGGAGGGAGCTAGGAACTGCTGCCAGAGCTACTGTTTCACCATAAAACTTGGAAGAAGAGGGAAAAGGGAAGAGGACCAGTGGGAGGGGGAAGCCAGAGATTTCCAAAGCAATGAGTGCCATACCTTACAATCTCACCAAAGAAAATGCACTTTTTATACATATTTATTTATTTATTTATTTATTTTTAAAAAGAGCACAGTTCAATGGAAAATCCATGATTCTCTAAGGTGAAGTAACTAATTTTCTTGGCAACGTGTATTAAATCAGCTGAATCTTTCTGATCTGCTGTAACAGTCGCGGTATGTCTTCAAAAACAGGTGTTCTCGAATGTTACATTCAAAATTGATTTCAATAAATCAGGGCGTACGGGAGAGCTCTGTGGACATCGATCCGCTCTACTGTTTTGACTTGCAAGTTGTATAGAAATGCTAGTGTGCTACAGTTAATTAAAAAAAACTCCTTACATTGATTTTTGTTGGAGTTTTATTGGTTTTAGCCTACAACCAGCATCCCTGCTTAGCTGAGAATCTTGAGAAGGTAATGGACTGCTCTTTCAGGAGGGCAAGCTGTTTACTCAGGCAGGCTGATGGAAAAGGAAATGTCTGAATGACTTTCGCAGTAGCACTTAAACTACCAGCGTATTTGTAAGCAAGGACAATACTGATTTTAGTTGCGCTTGGAAATCAAATGTTTTATTACTTGAAAGCATGCTTAAAGATTATTTTGAAGCATTTTTAAGGAAAACTCAAGTATTCTTTTCAAAGAATAAACATGAAGTGCTTGTGTTTTCTCTGCCCAGTTTGTTTTCCTCACCTATGTGCTTGGAGTGGCCTGGCTTGGAGTCTTTGGCTTCTCTGCTGTGCCTGTCTTTATGTTCTATAACATATGGTCAACTTGCGAAGTCATCAAATCTCTTCAGACAAATGTGACAGTTCCAGGGGACCAGATCTGCGTGGATATCAGGCAATACGGTACTCACTTTAATCCCGATTAAATGCTTTATCCTTTCTCCTTGGTCTGTCTTCAGTCGTTGTGTCTCAGCCTTATCAAATGAACCAAATGCAAAAGCATCCTGTATCTCTGAATGTGATATTACTTTTCTAATTAATTCAGATTACACTGATCTCTTTCCAGATGCAATCAACTTAACTGAACTGGCAAGCCATTTATCTAAAATGATTTTGTAGCAGTTTCCAATACTATAATAATAGATTTAAAAATAGATCAGCCTCAAAATAAACTGCTTGGAAACAGCGCTGAGAAATAGATAACCAGATTCTGGCTACTGAACCCCCATACGCATATACTCTTCCCTTTCAAAAAGCTGTTTCTACATTTAAATGTGAACACCTGAACTTTGCTCTAACAATTCCTTTCAGTTAGAAGACCAAAAACCTGCAGTCAAGAGTCTGCCATAACTATTAATGAACTAAGACTGCTTTCTGATGACACACAGAAATCCGAGGGGGTGCAGGTAGCAGAGGAGTGGGCTGATAGCTTAAAATAGCGTCAGGCTTTTCAAACCGTTCGTTCCTTAAGGTGGGTTTTTCCTGAAGTTAATCTTCTCAGCTTCCCTTGCGCAGCAGAGCTTTTGTCACTGTTAACTTTTGGCTTCCTTTTAGCTAGCATTTTCTAGGAATGTTTCTTTGGACTAAGTCATTCAAAGCTGAGAAAACAGATTCAAAGTTGGAAAAGTTAAGAAAGCTTGGTCTTGCTTTCCTGTCTGGGCTGTAGGTCCAGTAGGAGAAGGTAAGATACACTAATCTTAAAAGCAAGAAGTCCCAAATGGGTTAAATGTTTGCATCCTATTTTAGCAGCTGACAGCAAGAGGCTGGGAAGACGTTTTCTTCAGCAGCTAGGCCTAGGAGTACAGGGGGAAGATGTGCTCCTCCACCTTTCTGCTTCTCCTGGTTGCTTCGCAGCTGTACAAGCACCGTGTAGGGCTGGGCTGTTCCTCTGAAGAGTAAAATCATTTGGGTTTCAGTGAGTGATGGGAAAGGGCAGCTCCTTCACAGGCGACTTGTGTCACTGAACCGTCCTCACGGTTTTGGGTGGAAGCGGTAGCTATAAAAGGCTTCAAGGGTATATTGCAATTGCAGAGAAGCTGGCTTTAAAGTAAATCCTGTAAAATCATTCTGAAAGCCGTACCATCCTGAGAGAATTTCAGTGGCCTGCCCCTTACAGAGTTGCCAATTCCAACCAGCTGAGTTTGAAATAGAAGTTATATGGAGGAGAGAAACTGGTTTTTTCCCTGTTTCAAATGGCTTTTGCTTAAGCTTTACATCTATTATGGGCCTAAAAGTTTAGGTTATTTTAAACCTTCTAGATCCTGTCAATTTTTCAGATTTCCAGTCGTGTAAGAAAAGTAACTGGGAGTGCATGAGGTGCGACAGACTGAATTTTCTTGCAGTAGCAGTGTTCACTTACTGCTTTTTTTACCTACTGGAACTAAACCAGAAGAAAAATCCTTCTGTAATTCTTCCCTCTAGCTCCATATTCACACTCTTCTACAGCAGTTACTTGCACAAGTAGAAGTTAATCTAGCAAGCGCTATCCTGAAAGGTGCCAAGCACCTCTGAGACGCAGATTATCCCCTTCAGTGCTGAGTGGGGGAGTAGGCAGTATCTGACCGGACCTGAAGTGCAAAAGCCCAACCAACCATTTGGCTGCCATATGGGCTGGGCAAACCACATCTGAGGACGTATCTTGGCAGCAAGCCTGGGTGTAGGGAGGAAGCACAACTTGAGGGAGTTGTTTTACTTCTTCCCGCCAACTCAAAGCTGTACTGGTCTGTACTGGTCAACGTGCGGATGCCAAGAATGGGAACACAACCGGCAAGTGGGTGGAAAAGATGAGAGGGGAACAGAAAGCGTGTGTTGGTTGCTAAAATTAGTGGTTTCTTCTGCTGTGGTATTTCAGGTATTATCCCTTGGAATGCTGTACCTGGCAAAGCCTGTGGCCCGATTTTAGAGAACATCTGCAACACGAATGAGGTACAGAAACGTAACCTGTGTGCAGCTTTTGCCTACAAAAGTCGCTTGGGCACCGTGTGATAGATAACTTGATGAAAGTTTTTGGAGGAAACTAATGCCAGTAGTATAAAGAGGTTGATTAAAACACAACACTGAAATTATTCTGTTAGGTCACCTAGAAAATGAAAATTCTTTCAGAACATTTTTATGTTCTAAAGCTTTGAATACCTTCCTATGAAGATGGTTTTATTATCATTCGCTAGAACAGTTGAAATGCATCTCATACTATCCTCAATTACTTCAATGTTTTTAACATGTTTTCTTCTCTAGTTCTACATGTCTTATCACCTGTTCATTGTGGCTTGTGCTGGAGCTGGTGCCACTGTCATAGCATTGGTGGGTAGTATTTTTTGTTGTTTTATTGCGTAATGTGTTTCTTTCAGGCTTAAGATGCTTTAAGATTAAATATTGTGTATCTTAAAAGTAGCGATAGTAGACATTAAGGAGGGCGAGCTGTAATCACCATTATTTGCTGCTACGGTTTGGTCATTACAGGTCAGCAGGTCCCGAACTTTGGCTTTAAGAAGTCATCTTAACCCATCTCCCCCCATCCTTAGAATAAAATTCTTTGCATGTCCTTTGCAAAATTGTGCTTCTTCCCACTATTTCTATTTTTGATGTCCACTATTTCTTTTCATTTTTGTAGTTTATTTGATTGGTCGCTTGTAACCTCTTGGTTTTCTTGTCTGGGCCCAGGCAGTTGGACTAGTCCAACTCCGCAATGCCGGTTACAGGTAGCAGTTGGAAAAAGGGACGTTAACAAGATGGCTTGCTTCGTATGCCTAACGCTTCCTCTAGCTGCCAGCTTCTAACCTCACGTCAGCCACATCCAGGTGTCATACTTGCTGTCCCTTGACGAAGTAGCCTTAGGTCTGTATGTAGGTTCTCCTCTCCGGTTGAACGGCCGGTTGTTGTTTATCTTGCATCTTCACCCTGGAAAGAAGCTCAGAATAACGTCTGTTGTAAAAGTTATCGACAGTTGCCCAAGTGGGCTTGAGCCGTCACCTCGTTGTATCTTACTCTCCTGTATTTTGTTCTCTTCCACCAGCTGATCTACATGATGGCTACTACATATAACTATGCTGTTTTGAAGTTTAAGAGTCGGGAAGACTGCTGCACTAAATTCTAAATTGTATAAGCCCAGTACAGAGCTGCATTGCGTAGCTTGAAATACCACTGACACCCTAGGCTAAAAGTCTAGCTTTCTGAATTTTGTTACAGTAATTGTAAATAGCTTCAGTAAGCATCGTTTAGCTTATCGGATTAATAAAGTGACTTCTTGTATATGAACTGTGATGTGGATGAGATCTGGCTATTTTTTCCATGTCGAGAGGATTCAGTTACTGCAGGGGTGTTTCCGCATCGCCCTTCTGAAGATGGGATGTTTCCATTTCAAGTCTCCGCTTGCTTTCGAGCAGTCATCTCAGACAAATACTGGAACAGTTCAGGGTCAGAACTATTAATTTATTCTTCATCCTGAACACCAAATGCAACCCCCCCTGAGCATACAAAACATGTGCGATACAAAAGAAAAGGAATAGTCAAGTAGTGCCAGTCTCTTCTGGCAAGAAATCAGAAGCCCAGGTATTACGAATTAGTTGGCTTATATTTCCAGCGCACGGACGATAAAGTTGATCGATTGTTTCCTTTTACTTCATTTTCAAGTAATTGCCAAATCACGCTCTCTCTGGGAGGAGACACATTCTTGCGTTAGCTCTGCGTAAAAACAATCACATTATTTCTTTTGGACCCTGAGCGAGTAAGAAACAGCGTATAAGTAGCTTCTGTTCTTGTACGGCTTGCACTTTAGTAACTGATTTCTCAGTAGCCAGATCTCAAAACTGTAAGTATGACTGCACGTGAAGCAAAACCATGCATAAATCATGGAGACCTTTTTACACTGTTGGGATTAAAAAAAAAAAAAAAATAGTGAATCGGTGTTTTCAGATGTAGATTTTTTGCATGAAGTACGGTGAAAAGAAGTTGGGAAGAGATGAATAAACGAACTAGCAAAAATCCACACAGTAATAATAATAATAATAATCATAATAATAAAAGAACCAGTTGCTATCTGTGATACAAAGCTCTTCACCTGAGGTTGGACAATGGAAGTTTAAAATGTAGCTATAAAAATACACGATTAAGACTTCTTAACCCAGAGATTGCATGCTTTTGCTTAGTTTTGGACTCACGTTTTGTTGTTTAATTTTTCAATATGTTAATGTAGCCTTGTTCACGTGAATAAAACTGTTTACAGTTTCAGGCTTTTTCCAGGGGGAGGGTGGAATTCTCATCTGCTTGTTGGGGGAAAAGAATTCCCAGGATCTGGGCTTGGATGTGCATAAACACCACACCTGTAGAAAGCGGTCCTTCTGAGCACCTCGTAGTTTACAGATTACGTAAATCGACGCGTCCAAAACTTTTTTTTTTCCTGCTTCCCCCCATTCTGCATTTTAATGGATCTGTACAACTCTGTAGCTCATTTTATTGCCGTTATACTAACTTCCTCTCAGTTGTGAATAATCAGCTGCAGTATTAGCATGCCATATTCTAGAGACCTTTTGAAAATAGCCTCTGTGCTTGTTTTAATAACAGAATGCTTATTAACGTAGAATAACTTTTTTCCTTTTTTTTTTTTTTTTCCTTTTTTTTGGTCGTTATTTTAAAGAGTGTCTATTAATCTGACTAGCAGCTTGCTTTGCCTCTTGACATGCTCACTAGCCATCATGCTCACCCTTCTCTTCCAGATCCACTTCCTCATGATACTGTCTTCTAACTGGGCCTACTTAAAGGATGCAAGCAAAATGCAGGCCTACCAAGATATCAAAGCAAAAGAAGAGCAGGAGCTTCAGGATATCCAGTCTCGGTCAAAAGAGCAACTCAATTCTTACACATAAATGTTTGCCACAGTAATTCAGCAGAAGAATTCTGTCGCTCTGACAAATCAACAGATAGCTGCTCTGCAGTACAGATGTGTGTCTACCAAACAAAATTAGAGAGAAGTGCAAAAGCTTCACATTCCAGCTCCTGGAACACATTCATAGGGAAATCTTCCCACGGGTAATCTTCCATCCTTTCAGACAGAGAATGGAGGTTTTCTTCCAGGCATTTTAAAAGGCAACACTTCACAATAAGTGACCAAATTTTTCCTCTTTCAGGCTTTTGGCGTTTAATAATATTTGACACGTCCTACAGCATGACGTCCCGCCCAAAACGGTGGCAGGCGCCCCGCGCCCGCGGGCGGTAGGTCTCCCTGCAGCCCTTAGGCAAGGGCAGGGGTACGGTGTGGGATTCAGTATCCCGGCGCACCTACCGAAGGGGACTGTGGCCGGCTGACGTTTCCGGCAGCTCGTGCCGCGGTGGCGGCGCCGTTGCAGCAGTTCCTAAGCTGCAGCCGGGCTGTCTTTGACCGCCCTCCCCGTGGGCCACAGGAACAGCGCTCTCCTCCTGCGCCATGCTTTTTTACAACAAAGCCGTCGCACTCGCGCGCTTAGGTGAGTGTTGAGCCGGTGTCCCAAGTTTTAATCTTTTTATTAACGGTTTAACGGAATGTGGATCCTCGGATCTGGATAATGATCCCCTTCTTTGAAAATAAATGTCAGCTTTGCCTTAATATTTATTTTCTATAAATGTCTTAGCATTTATATAGTGGCAGGAGACCATTATCCTACTTTTTAAGTAAGTGAAAAGTGTTACCTTATTAAAATGACACTGATCTGACTATTCCAAATGAGCAGATGGGAAAGCTTGCAGAGTTTTACACAAACAATAAAAATTACAGCCATAAAACAGAACACAGGATGTCCACCTTTCTCTATCTTGGTGCTTAGCAAATTTATAGTCAGTGCTTACGTGTTTTCCTTTTTACAAATTAATTAGCACATTAAGAAAACGTGGTGTTCAGAAAAAAAACAAATAAACAAACAAACTGGTGCCATTTTAAAGTCATTTCCCATAGAAGTCTGCCTTCTAATTACTGTTTTTTTCAGAAGCATTCAGTGATATCTTGAGTATTAGTGATGGTATACTTGGTGTTTTGTTCTATATGATAGATATATATATATAAATGTTTGGGGGGGAA